TTTTATTGAGGGATACCAGCTCACCCCATCTCCCTGCAAGAGGGTGCGTGGGCAGGGGGAACCCCTCCCCCCCCCAACCGCACAGCCAAACACTCGTTTTCTCCAGTGCTCACATTTATTCGTATTTCATCTCCCGCTGCTCTGTACAACATGGATTTATTACAGAGACGTCATACTGTTGCCATGGAATGTAAGCTAATCGGAGAAAATGAGGTTTTTACCAATTGGCTTTATCAACACAATTTATTTTTACGGCTGGCGGTGGGGGAGTTGGAGATACAAGGGATTCTGAGTGTAAAATACCAGTGGCAATTTACAGAGAAGGGTTTTAACACCTCTTCGAGGACGATGGGGGCTTTTCAGATGTAAATGTTTTAAAATTCCCGTGGGGAGTGACACTGCAGAAGTCAGAGCTAGATCACATCCTGAACCCAAAGCATTAGAACACCAAATCACAGTTTAGTTTTCACAATATGTATTGTGAATGTTATACTTAAATGTTATTCAGAACAACACTGTAAATAAAGTTACAAAATATAGTAATCCAAGACTCTGAAAATCTATAGTAAAAATAGGGAGCCTGCGTTTTCATTAACAATGAATAAATACAACATTTAAATAGCTGCAACATACCAAATACTCATCTTGTGCCTTAAATAAAAAAAAAAATAGATGTTTATATCTCTCTCAATATTTTAGAAGTCACTCAGTGCTACTTGAAGCTTCTAAATTCCAAAGCTGGAGGCTGACAAATATACAGGATAGAAAATGGCAGCAAAGCATTCACAACGCCATCTTACAGACGTGACCTCCACGTCCTGCCCGAGGCCTGACAGAGGCAAGTTGAGACTTTGTGGTTTTGGGCAACGGCAGCAAAAGAAGTTCACCAATTTTAGGGCAGTCGAGGGGAAGATAAAAGGATTGTACTCCACTATATCCCCTAAAAACTGGGATATGGTAGTGTCAATCAGAAAGAGCCAGACCCCGATAGCCGCTCCCCCAGGCTGCCAGCTTCGGGGCAGTGTCATACACAGAACAGATCTAGGGCAATTCTCTAACACCATCTATTTTTTCCCCTCCCCCAAGATTTGAAGTTTTTCTCCCTCGATTTGAAGAAGTTTGGAGCTGCAGTACACAGGCCACCACCAGGACAGAGATTTCAGTCAGGTTTCCATTACTCCTTGGGCTTCACCACGTACTCCCGAAACATTGAGTACAGCACCCCTACAAGAAAGAAACAGCAGCACAGTTACAAAGCTGGGCTGAGTAGGAAATAATGGGTTTCCACATCTGAGCAGTGATAGTCTCAGCAACAGAAATAACATTTCCCTGCCTCTTCTGCTGCCTGTATTTATTTTTTTGACTAGCAGTGATGAACACTGCAAAATTCTTCATATACAGAGAAACGGGATATGAAAACGCAGATCCCAAGCCAATGCTAGTTTGCTTTGAGACCCAGTCCAGTTTTTCTGCGGTACCTTCTGGGAACTCAGGCTAGACAAAACAGCGTTTCATGGGGTGTGCATTTACACACAGGCACGGCTGCAGGACTCAGCTGAGACCTGGGAGGTACAAATCACTCTGCGTTATATATATTTTTTTAATATCCTTTTAAAAATGGTCTGTTATCTAGACCCTTTAAAAATGGTCTGTTATCTAGACCCTTTAAAAATGGTCTGTTATCTAGACCCTTTAAAAATGGTCTATGATCTAGACCCTTTTAAAATGGTCTATGATCTAGACCCTTTTAAAATGGTCTATGATCTAGATCCTTTAAAAATGGTCTATTATCTAGATTTTTTTTTATATATATATGATCTATCTATTTATATATATATTCAGGGACACAATTCCAGTCCTTAATATATATATATATAAAATATATACCATACCACAGTCTACACAAGCTGATTTTCCAGCACATTCAATTCAGAAACAGCAACATATTTACAAGGGATCATATTAACATCAGAAAGTCTTTTTTTTTGTCTCCCATTTCATCACCTGCAGAACTTGACGTATGAAGAACAGATACTTCCCACGTCTAGAAGTAGTTCAAACTTCTATTCTCAAAGTCAGAGCAGTTTAATGCTGAGTACATGCACTTAAACATCTAGAAAGGCTGAACAAACACCACCAACATCCCGAAATACCACGGCCTGGACACCCCCACCCTGCCCCCTGTATCATCCACGTGGAGAAGAGACCCAAGAGGCTCCCGGGGAGGGGCAGGACAGCCTCCCTGTGGGTACACACCGCACGTTATCGCTCCCACGACGAACCCCTGGGCTGCCACGCGCATGTGGATCAGGTGAAGCGACATTTTCATGTCCCCTCTGTGCTTCAGCCTGTACAGCCCGTAGCCCACCACCACGGCGAAGCCAGCCATCCCTGCAAGGCAAGGCCAGCGGCCTCGTGAGTCGAGGTCCAAGTGTGAAGCCACCCGCTTCAAACACCCCGGGGAACAACCGTGTTTTGATCTAATCACGCTGGGTTTGGGCAAGTCCCAGCCTCATTCAACGGACGAGAGAAACGCGAGAGGTTTCCACTCGCGTTCAACCACCACGGCAGAACCTCAAAAGTCTTGAAGTTTCTCCCAATATTTTTCAGAAGGCACAAGTGCTGCCTGCACCTTCTTTTTCCTGGAGGGAAGCTCACCCCCAAGAACCCTGCTGGGCTGCAGCTCGGACCCTCAGCCCGTGGATGCACCCTGACGTACCCCCCACACACACACCCCCGCTGAGCTGCTATTTCGGGTGCCGCCACGTTTGTCCAGCTTTCACCGGGACAGGGCGAGTCAGATGGTCCCGTGCTGCGGGGCAAGAGCCTCAGCAAAGTTCACTTTGAGTCCTTCAACAGACCAAACGCGGCTCCACCCTGTGCACACCGCTGCTCTCACCGAACAGAGCAGCAAGGCGCAGAATTTCCCAACTCCCTCCACTTTATTCCGTACTACGGATGATTATTTACCTTGTGCAAAGGAGGCTGCTGAGTTCTAAGTGGTTTTAGTTTTAGTTTTGTGTATATTTTACTGGTGAGAGCGCAGACAGCTGGTCTCCGCGAACACGACTATTACCAGTTCCCCCTGTGAGGCTGTAAACCCTTACTGATCCGCACAGCAACTTCATTAAATACCAATGAAGAGTTTTAGGGATCCTCAAACCAGCTCTGACCCAAGTTCTGCCAATCTGCTGAGTTCACAGTCGGCCCCAGCAAGCTGGAGAGCAAAGTCCTGCGGCGGCAGAAACCAGTGACGGGGATCTGCTGGCAACCGCTCGGAACCGCTCACCCCGCCTGACCCGGCCTCTCTCCGTTTAAGGGGGCTGGAAATCAAAACGTGTCTCGTGTCAGAGGCAGCTCCTGATGGGAGGGAAGTTCTCAGGACAAACACGACTGCTCCTCTCTCCCCTCAGAGGCTTTTTGGGGGTCTCGGCAGAGGGGCTGAGAACTTTAACAACTGCCTCAAGCCGGGGGAGGGGAACAAGACCTCCCAAAAAACCACGTTTTAAACTACGGGATGGCAGCAGAGAAGGGTGGAAGGTTTCACGTGGCAATTGTAGGTTCTGAGGTTTTTATTTAAGGTAACAAGCCTCATTAATTTCCCTGTTTCTTGCAGAACCACCACCATTCCGGGCAGGAGCAGTACACCACAAGGCTACATGAGGAAGTGATTTCCCAGGAAAACAGCGAGCAAGGAGGGTGTTTCCCACACGGATTGCCTGAAGAGCAAGATCTACATAACCGCCCTTCTTCATCTTTAAACTTACCGATGGGGACAAACGGCGTCTCTTTAAATTTCCTTAACAGCTTTGATGTCTGGCTGGTGTCGGTCTCATACTCGGAGAAAACGGGTTCCTGACCGGATGACATGGTGGCTGCGAAGACCAAGAGTCTCCCGTCAGGATTTAGAAACACAAAGATCTTTCAGGAAAAGAAAAATCCCTCGCGGATTCCACCCAGTCACGAACATCCACGTAGCGAGGTACAAGCACAAGAGCTAAACTCGAGCTGAGGAGCGACGCCACCAATTCCTGCCACCCCTTCTCCCGCCGTTACAGATCCCAGCGCCCCTCGCCGCGCGGCGAGAAGCCACCGAAAGCTTTTGGTCGCTGCCTGCGTGTCTTTCTAGCGCTTCCAGCCTCCACCACGCTGCTTTGCCATCACAGGCTCTTCCTTAACAGCAGCTCTGACCTCAGAGAAGTTCATTTCTCCGCTTTCACTCCCTGCCAAGAACAGCTCAGGGTGGAAAGCCGCTGCGGAAGGTCAGCCCTCCCTGGCAAGTCACCAGTCACCACTACGGCCTGTCCCACCTCGCTCACGGTGGTTTCAACCCCCTGCTGGAGAGCACAGAGGGTAAAACGGGCGCTGCCGAGGCGCGGGAACGAGGTGGGAAGCCCTTGGTAGGCACAGACTCGCGTGGGGATGCAGTGGGAGGATGAGGGGAGTTGCCGTTGCAGCACAGGTCATTTCCCACCTGCCCCCAAGGGGAAAAAAAAAAAAAAAACAAACAAAACCAGCAGCAGCGGCCATGAGAAGGGCTCTACCATCACCAGACCAGTAAGACCACCCGCCAAAACCTGCCAGCTTGTCCTGCTGTCCCCGTCACAGATCACCCCGAGACCTGTTCCTTCTCCAGTGCCCGCCATAAGCCTCCTTCCTCACGGAGCAGCTATTTCTCTAGCACAATTGGCTCAGCAACACCACGGAGGTCTCCGCTGGAAAAATCTCCACCGATACCGCTCCAGTTTTGCCACCAACGTGCTCAGCAGCAACATATACAGCTCGGCCTCACACGGAAGGACTCCAAGCTCTTGAAAGAGGCCAACAGGAATTTAATTTAAGCACGTGCAAAAGGAACGTTTCAAACGTGGCTGCATCCCCCGGTTACGCAGCATTCTGTGCGCATCCGTGACAGCGGACTGACTGGGTTTGGTTATTTTAAACCAAACGTGCAAACCTCTGCAGGCCAAAGGAGTTGGTCTCTCTGCGCCTGCTACCACTGCCCTGATTTGCTAAATATAAGTTACGTTTCAGCCTGACTCATTCGGAGAAGGAAACACGAGAGCACCCGGTGCCTCGGGAGAGGTGGAGGCAGCCAGAGGGGAGATTTGCATGAGAAAAGGCTATCGAGAAGTGAACCAATTCCTTCCCTGTAAGAGGTTTCCGCGACCTTCAGCTCCTGCAGAGGCCGAGGTGGGCGCAGAGCGGAGGAAGCCCGGCGAAACGCACCCCTGGGGCTGCCCTGACCTTGCCACCCCCTCAGCGGGGAGCCGTGGGGCAGCAGTGCGGCCACCCGCGGGGGACAGCTCTGACACGGGTGGTAAAGGGACACGGCCCAGCGCCCCTCCCGCC